ACGAGCATTTCCTCGCTTCTGTTCAGATCCCTTGCTTCTCTCGCCTGACTTCCATCCCTGCCCTCACAGGTGATAACTGAGGCTCTGATGGCTTTCACCTGGCTGCTGAGGTTTCCTCTGCCAGCGGTGGAGCAGAACGCCCAGCAGCTGACCAAGCAGCTCTTCGTCCTTCTGAAGGATTACTCCAAAGCCGGTGCTGCACGCGGGGAGAACTACCAGCTGGTCCAGAACTGCTTTAAGGTATTTTATTTAGTTATTTTTTTTAAACAACTGGTTTATCTCTGAACTTCTGAGTGCTGATGAAGTGGAGGCTTCGCAGGCGATGACCATTCTGGTGAAGAACATCAAAAGTAACAGGATCTCTGAGACGCAGCTGCAGGTGCTGCTGGGATACGCTGAGGAGGACATATACGATCAGTCGCGCCAAGCCACCGCCTTTGGCCTCCTTAAGGTAAGCGCAGCAAAAGCAAAGCAGAGAACATCTGGGAATCCTCAAACTGATCCTAGATGTGTTTTTATAGTTAGTGGCTCAGGTTATCCTGAGATATCTCAATAGTTACGGTATGCTGCTATAAGCTTACACTGCCGGAGGACATAGGTACCCTTTTTTAATCATTCTGCTACATTATTTCTCCATTCTCCCACTCTGCAGTATCTGTTAGTTCATAGTTTCTCATAGTAGCTTAATCTGATCTGTTCCTGTTTGGCTTTGACACCATCCTGGGGTGAAATATCAGCTGTGCTGCTGCCACCAACACCTTTGTTTATAGATGTTCGAGCTCGGCCTGTTTTTCAGTGTAGTCCTCAGCAGATGGCAGCTCACACTAAGCCTGTTTCTGTAGGAGGTTTTTTTTTCCTGTTAAAAGGGAGTTTTTTTCTCTCCACTGTCGCTACAAGCATGCTCGGTGTGAGGGATTGCCTTGGAGTCAATGAGTCGATGCAATCAATTGTCTCTATAGGTAGTTGACACATCATCTACCTTGAGATGACATGTGTTGTGAATTGGCACTATATAAATAAACTGAGTTGAATTAAATTTTTGTTTAATTCATCCAGGCAATCCTGTCCAGGAAGCTGGTCGTCCCGGAAATGGAGGAGGTGATGAGGAAAGTGGCCAGGTTCTCCGTCACGGGAGGGAACAACATGATCAGAACCCACTGTCGACAGGTAGAAGCTTGCAGACGCATGTTTTCCCGCTGCTTTCTGTGGAGACTTATGGTGTCGCTCTGTGTGCTGCAGATCTACCTGAAGTACCTGCTGGACTACCCTCTGGGCCGGAAGCTGAAAGGCCACCTGAGCTTTGTGGTGGCCCAGCTGCAGTACGAGCAGGACACCGGCAGGGAGTCGGTGCTGGAGCTGCTGGCCTCCATCTTCCAGATGTTCCCTCAGGTGAGGAACACCTCCTGGTTCTTTTCTCTCAGACAAAACAGCTGACGTGAAATATGAACGACGTTCCCCTCTTGCCCCTCAGAATCTGCTGCTGAAGAACAGCAGCCTGTTCTTCGCACCACTGGCGTTGGTCGTGGTCAACGACGATTCAGTCCGCTGTAAGAAAATGGCCGCCATGGCTATTAAGACACTGCTTGGTCAGCTTGACGTAAACCACCAGAACGGGCTGTACTCGCTGGTCAACGCCTGGCTTACAGCGGAAAAGGTACGGAAAGTATTTACACCCTTTGATGTTTTAGTTTTAAACATTTTCTGACGTTTTTCTTGTTCTCTTCAGTCCACCATGCGGCGCCTCGGAGCTCAGGTTTGCGGCCTGTTTGTGGAGGTGGAGGAGGAGAAATTTTCCCGGCGAATGGACGACCTGTTGCCATTGCTGGAGAAAGAAATCCACCCTGATGCCTACGAGGATGTGAGTGAAAAAAGGAGATCAGTCGGATGGAAATGGTTTTAAAAAAAAAAAGAGGAAAGTAATGGATGCGTTTGTTGTTCACAGATCTCGGAGGAGGAGGAGGAGAAAGGAGCCGACAGGCTGCTCTTCAGTTACCTCACTCTCATCTCCAAACTGAACAAACACTGTGGTTTTCTGGAGCTCCGCAATCCTCACCAAACGCTCCTTCACATCTGGGGTAAATATCTGCCGGTCTTCTCTTTGTTGATCTGAACGAGCAGTCAGTCTGAACGCCTCCTGAATCCCACCTCAGGTCACATTGAAGCCCACCTGCGCCATCCTCACTGCTGGGTGTGGCTCACCGCCTCGCAGCTGTTTGGTCAGCTCTTCGCCACCCAGCCAGCGGAGCAGCTGGTCGCCATTTGGAAAGGACAGGAAGGGGACGCCTCGTGTCGCCCTGCAGCCATTGAATTCATCACCAGCGACTTGGACAGGAGGGTGAGGCCACAATCTTTTAATTTTCTTTCAGCAGAGTTAAATTCCTGTTTCTCATCAGCGCTCTCCTTCTGTTTCACATCCAGATGAGAGAGTTGGCTTTAATTTTCTGTAGCCAGCTGCAGTCTAAGTTCTTGGACACGGCATCAGGAGAGCAGGTGCTTAATTTTAAACACTTTAGCTTTAACTTTTATTAGAATTTGTTACTATTTATAAATGCCTTCCTGTCTTTGCAGGTGATCAAAAACCTCCTCTTCGTCGGAAAGGTGATCTACCTCATATCCCCAGAGTCTGACATCACTATACTGGAAGGAGAGAAGCAGAGCGAGGTTGAAAACGGAGAAGATTGTGATCCTGATGCTGAAGAAAAGGAAGAGATGGAGGAGGAGAACGATGATAAAGACGACGACAAGCCTCCTTCTTTGCTGTGGCTCATGAAGAAGCTGTCTCTGATGGCCAAGAGAGAAGCAGCTTACGCTCCTAAAGTTCCTCTCAAGGTGAACAGATACAACCTTACTTTGACTAGGCCACTCTAGCAGATGCACGTTTGATCAAAATATCATAGGGAGGACTTTATCATCTTATCCTCAGTGAAGGTGTTCCCCAAGGCACGGCTGTTGGACCACTGACGACTACATAGTCTCAGCCTGATGCTGCACCAAATGGGATAATAGAGACTAAATTATTATTAAATCAGCTTAAAAGGGGGGGTTCAGTTGCAGCTAAAATATTTTAAATATGTTTGAAAACTTCTGGAAGTTTGCACCATAAAATCCTAAAAAAAAAAAAAAAAAAATCAAATTCTGCGTTTATTTCTGTAAAACTTGAAGAAGTTGGGGCCCTTTGTAAAATTTTGCGAGGTAACAGTCATATACCACTGACATTTGAGCATCTGCTTCCTTCAACAGAGAACCTGTGTGTTTAAGTTCCTGGGAGCCATAGCAGTGGACCTTGGGAAGGAACGCCTCGGTCCCTACCTCTCCACCATCATCACTCCTCTATATAGAGAGCTGGACAGCACATACGCTGAGCAAGGTCTATATCTGACCAGGTGAAAATCAAAAATGACACCTCGATGGAGACTTAAATCCTTGTTTTTCTCTTTTTATCCAGATCCAACCCTGAAAAACTTGGCACAGGAGCTGATTGAGCTTCTGAAGAAACAGGTGGGGCTGGAGAGGTTCTCCCTGGCCTTTTCCGCAGTCCAGAGGGAGTTTTCACAAAGACGAGCGGCTCGGAAGCGACACAGAGCCATGCAGGTACAGAGGACACCACACCTGAAAGTACGATGACTTCCCTGTACATCAGCTTTAATGTCCATCTTTAACTACACAGGCAGTGGCAAACCCAGACATCGCTGCCAAGAAGAAACTCAAGAAGCACAGGAATAAAATCGAGGCAAAGAAGAGAAAGATCGAGTTTCTGCGACCCGGATATAAAGCGAAGAAACACCGAAGTCATGCGCTCAAAGACCTGGCCATCATGCAATAGCTTTTTACACCTCTTAGATCTTATATTGTTACGTCTATAGATCTAATGGATTAGAGTGGAAAAAAATATACAACCATTGTCATTCAGCAGGATGTCCTGCAGCCTTTTCACATTTAAAGCATGTAAATAACAGACCAGAGACTGTTTTATCCCCTCTGATATGAATCTGTACAATTTGAATAACCTTGTGCTACATTAAAGTTTTGTAAATGAAAACTAAACCAACCTGTTTACAGAAGATTGTGGCATTCATTCATAAGAACATATTTGAAATAATTTTAATGTTTTAGAAAAGGAGTAATCTGAAACTATATACCCGACTGTGGTTTAAAAGGAATTATCTTCTAAACCTAATTAGTTGTGCCAGTCTGGGTGAAAACAAATTGATTTTGGATTAACTTAAAAATTTTTTAAATCATTCTGGGGAAATGTGGACCAAGGTCACAAACCGAAAATAATTTCTTTCAAATATTTCACGTGTTGCTTAAGTTTTCACCTTCACCATCTCTTTAATCGATTGTGTTCTCTTCCAGAAAATCCTAGAAATACGTATACTCAGCCATCAGTTTTTCTAAAGCTCTGCAGGAGCAGCAGCTGAAATGGAATTAAAAGGTGGGAAATGTGTGGGGATTCCTTATCTTTCTGTAGGGATAATAGGATTATTTTCAATGAGACATCATGAGATGTCCGCCACACCGATGGGCAAAGATACGTTAGGTTCAAAATGCTTTCACAATCTGAAAATTTCTGAGGCCAAGCCCCACACTCACTTAATTGGCTGGGTATTTTTTTATGTATATATATATATATATATGTAATACAAGTGTTAAATGAAATGCTTTCATTCAGCTCGAATGTTTCACAAACTTCAAACATTAATCTAAATGACATTACTTCTGGATATTTTTTTTTATATGAACCATTCCTCTTGAGGGAGGGCTGATTATAAGGCAGATTACCGGTACGCAAATTAAAAATCAAAAAATGGGTTAAAAAATAAATATCACATCACATGTAAAAATCATAAATTCAGGACTAAATAAATACATTCTGGGTAATGTGCATTAAATGATGTTAGAGAGAAATTTGACAGAAACTGTTTAGAAATCCAACAACCCTAACAGCATGTAACCAAGTTTTTAACTTTGAGGAATAAAAAAAAAAAATAGAACCAGTCCTGATACAACAACCAACTGCATTCTTTATTTAGAATCATTTTTTTCTGTACAAGCAGGTATAAATATGCAGCCATAAAACTTTGAGAGTACAGTTAGTGTTCATTAACTGATGAACTAAAATACCGAGGCTGCATCCGAGGAGTCCAACCACTAAAACCAGTGACACAAGGATCAGCAGGAAAAATAAATCTGTGACAGAAGCAGACAGCCCAAACTGCAGTGACACCCAGTGGAAAGACTGGATTCAGAAACTGAAACATAACCCAGGTTCACTTTGTGATACCCCAACAACTCTTAAAGAAATTAAAGTTATATTCAGGGATTCAATGTTGCTGTTTCAACAAGTAATGTTCTGACTCCCCCTTGTGGACACTCTTGATACCGACATAAGGACACATTAAGTACAATTTGTAGGCAGAACAGGAGTTGGTTCTTAGAAGGAAAGCTGGCAGTTTTTCTCGTGATTTATTTTCAAAATATCTGCAAACTCCAGATGTTACTGCAGCCGTCTCGTCTCAGTCTGGCAAGACGTTAGGAGGAGTTGTTCAAGGCCTTGTGTGGGTATGAGAAAGGAGGAGGAGTGCAATCATGGTCCAAAGAAAATGTGGGAAATGGGGGCGGGGTAAGTCACAAGGCTTCGAAGCAAGGGGTCAGAGTTTAGGAGTATATACAAGATGAGGGCATGTCTTTTCACTGCCGACTCTTCAGAGCATCCACCAACCTGTGAGGAGACAGCAAATATAAATCAGCAAGAGTAAACAGCAAAAAATAACACAGTAGTCAGAACGAGTTGGTCCTGCTCAGCAAGATGTAGCATAAAGAAGTTTATTTCCCTAATCTTCATAGGGAGGCTTACCACTCCATGGCTTCATCCAGGCCTGTTCCTTTAGTGGCCGAGGTCTTAAAGATCTGCCATTTTCTGTCTTTGAGGGCAGGAAGGCCCAGAGCGTTGGCCACTTCAGTCGGCGTCATCGCCTGGTCCATGTCCTGTTTGTTAGCAAACACCACCAGGATGGCCTTCTTCAGCTCTTCTTCCTGCAAACGACCACACACAGCATCCCATAATTACATTATCAGCAAAGGCCTGATACGAAAAAAGAAAAGAACGTTTCTGGCAATAAATCTGTTTGAAATAATGTCCATCTGCAGGCTAAGAGCTTTTAGCTAACAGACCTCAACTGCCAAGTTACTCTGACCTCCTCAATTAAAACCCAATGAACCAAAGACCTCAAGCAGAAAGCTGGGAACCAGATTCCACATCTGATAAAATCTCATTTTCAAACCTCAACCAGCCTATTTCGTTTTGAACAGATTAGCCAACCTGTAAAATCCCGTGTTTCAGTTCCTGTGAGGATGCTTCTCTTTATCCGGTAAGGAAAAGCTGGTTTATTCAATCTTGAAAATCCCAATTAAAGACGCAAGTCTATAGGCTTCAAAGTGAAAAAACACGAGAAGGGGGGCAGATACTTATGTCAGCCATAATAAGTTACATCAAACTCGGCCGCAGCTTTTACAGAGCAGACTTAGACAAACTTTGTCATTTTTTATACACAGTGTTTACAAAACTAAATTTTGTTTATACAGCTTTCCAACAGCGATTGTTTTTTTTGAGCAGCAGCTTAGCAGTGAAAGAGAACCATAAAGTGCAGCAGTGATCAAAATATGAACAGTGTGGGAGAGACATGGTGCAAAAAAGGCATTGATGTGAAAGGTTCAGAGCAGTGCAAAAATAAATATATATATATATAGGGTTTAAAATGCAGTAATAAACATGAGTTGAGTTCTATTTTGAAGATTCACCATGTAGTGTAAGTATGATGTTATAAGTGTGATGCAGAGTCTCAATTTGTAACTTGATTTAGAGTTTTTTTCAACAGTTCAACAGTCTGATGGCAGTGGGGAAAAGGCTGTTACTGGACTTGCATTGAACGCTGCGAAACCTCTTCCTAGAGGGCAGCAGGGAGAACAGTCCATGATAGGGATGTGAGTAGCTTAATGTGGACAGACATACCTCCAACATCGCCACCAGCTCAGACTTGGAGATGCCCATCCTGTCACGGTCGCTGCTGTCCACCACGTAAATCACTGCATCTGTGTTTGAGTAATAGCACCGCCAGTAGGGCCTGAAGAGGGCAGAGAAGGAATGAGTTACTAAGAGTGATGTTCAAAGTTAGAACATGTAACGCATTGGCTGTGTGAAATATGTAGATATATTTTAACTGTCACATCTGATATGCTAGATATAAATACAAAAAATACTTTCATATCTATTATAAGAATCTATTCTTGATGCACACATTTCCAGAATTTTTCAACCTACCTGATGCTTGTCTGTCCTCCAAGATCCCATACTTGGAACTTCAGGTTCTTGTATGTGACCGTCTCCACGTTGAAACCAATGGCTGTGGAGGAAAAAAAAAAAAGTGTCAAAAAAAAATGTCTCTAATAAAAGCAGGAAAAAACAAGTAACTCATTTTGATTCAGATTATGCTCTAAAACTATGGCCTCCATAAATAAGTTTAATCTAAAAGTGCTCTGAATAAGGTAAATTTAAAGAAAAACATATTTAATAAACCCGTTGTCGGAACTGAAACATTAAACATAAATATGATCAAATTATTTTTCTGTCATGCAAATTTTTACCTTTAGGCTGGTATTGATTTATAGGAAAAGTGTCATTTGAAGAGATATGGAGTCATGGCTTTGCTGATAAACAGGAAACAGCAAATTCACCACAGGTTGGTTGTTTATGTTATTAATTACAAGAACTGATTTAGAGTGGGTTTAATAAATGAGACCAAAGATTAGAGAACTGCAACATCAGTGTTCACCTAGTGAACAAAATAATCTCTTTGCTTTCAGGTTTGTTATTTCGCATTGATATAAATCGACGATCCAAAGGTCTGAACATAATCAAGAACTTAACTCATCCTTTTTGTTTACCCAAATACTTTGCTAAGATCTGATCTAAACTGTAAACAACTTTAAGATATTGATTAAACGTATTTACATGAAAGAAATTGTTTGGAAAAAACAATCTGCACTCACTGATTAAAGGCCTAAATATAACTGGCTGACATATGTTGTATAAGAGTTCCTGCATTTTGGCTTAATTAATACAGAATTGTATTCAAAATCCTAATGAGAGATTTTTGTCTTCAACATATATGCAGTTAAAGCTGCATATATTAAATTGAATTTTAAAAAACTTTATTAAACGTTGCATCAGGGTCGCTGCCAATCTCCAGCTAGTCTATGGGTGAGAGGCAGGGTACACTTTAGACAGGTCGCCAGTCTGTCTAAGGGCAATCAATTAATCCCAAAGGGAAATTAATTGTTGTAAGTCGTTTCTTTTTCCAACAACTTGCAGTAGAAGTTAATATCTGTAGGGAGGGAGGATCTCCTGTAGCAGCCTGACTTACACCAGCTCTCGAGAAGCATTTTTTTTTTTTTGTCAGTCTGATGAAGATAATGCTCACTGTTGTCTATGATGTTGCTCATTTTATGAAGAATTCTTCTTTGTGAAATAATCTCCAGGGGTTTTATAACAGAGCTGGCCTCCTTTATTAGCTTGTTAAGATTTTTTAAGCATTTTGGGCTGATACTGTTACCCCAGCAGATGACGGCAGAAGAGATCAAACTCTTAACATGTCTTAGAGAAGATATGTAGCATCTTGCTTACAGATCGACCGAATATTTAGACATCAGTCTAACCAATCCTTGACATGTGTTACTGATATCTTTGGGCAGATATTGGTCTCCTCCATTTAAATGATAAAAATTATACAATGATAACAGTTCTACGTTGATGTTGATAAGATTAAGCTTGTTCCTCTTTTTTCTGAAAACTACAATCCTTTCCCTTGGTTTGTTCACATTCAGTATCAGATGATTGTTTCCACAACATGCATGATCCAAGTATTACTGCAGATGACAGGACTCTGAGGTATACAGAGTAAAAAGAAATGTTTCGAGTACGGCCCCTGTGGTGCTGCTGACTACTTGTTAAGACACCTGAACCTTTAGTCAAGCAAACTGTGGTCTGTTTGTGAGGTAGTCTCTGATCCAGGTGATTGTTGATGCCTCCTCCTGATTCTTCTGAAGTTTCTCACAAAGTAACTCAGGCTGCATCGTGTTCAATGCACTGGACTAATCAAAGAACATGATCCTAACAGTCTGCCTGCCTTGTTTAATTGAGAGTTTAGTCCATGATAAGCAAGCCATAGATTAGTGTAAGACACCATGTTCTGATTTGAGAACATGAAGTCAATTTGACTGCAGGCAGGAGAGAAAGACGCTTAGCTTATTCCCGAACTGAATCTAATGAGGAATGTAGTCGATTCGTTGGCTCTGTCTGTCTGATCATCCTTCTGCTTGAAGCCTGTGATCTTCCCCTTCCACACATGGAAGCTGGAGCTGTTTTTCCAGCTTCTTCCTGTATGCTTTCTTTTATCTTGACTTGAAGTTCCTTCTGTATACTCCTCAGCAAGTAATTGTATACCAGAGTTTTCTTTCCCTTGTGTGGTAGTTTATTTCGATCACCAGCGATCTGATTAAATTCAATTTCATTACTAAGACTATAACATTTTTATTTCCCCCTAAATACAATATATAGGTAGACTCATGAAGATTTCTTATGTGTATATCTATATAAGTTATGTTATCTAATTATGGAGAAAATTGGATTCTGATTAATTTCACTGATTTGAAAGCATAATGTAAGTACAAAGAAGAAGGGGGAAAAAAATGATTACTTACTGGGAATCGTGGTGACCACCTCTCCAACCTGCAGCCTGTACAGAATGGTGGTTTTTCCAGCACCATCTAAGCCCAGGATCAAAATTCTCATTTCCCGGGAGCCAAACAGGCCAGAGAAAAGACTGGAGAAGAAACCCCCTGGAAAGGAAACAAACAGAATGTGATTTTAATCCATTATGTTCTAATTTATCTGATAGAATCAAGCAAGATGGATAATTAGCATTAAAAAAAAGAACTAGAGGCATTTACAGCAGAAAAAAAAATTGTAAAAATGAGCTAGTTTTTATCATGTATTTATGTATTATTTTAGTTTTTTCCTGTTTTAGTTTTTATGAAGGTTCTCGTCAATCAAGCTAGCTTAAGTTAGCTTCCAGTCTCTATTTGAGGTTATAGAGTAATTTATGACACATTGTTGTACTTCATTACTTTTACCGATACGTTTACTAGTACAAATAATGGAGAACCAACTAAAGACTGTAAAAAAATGTCAAAAGCAAACAACATATCAAAATGTTCACTGTAAACAACCAGCAATTAACATGAGCTAACCAAGCAGACAGCAACTACACCTCGCGTTGAAGTACGGAAGAAAGCAAACACTGGTGCCATGTATACTTTATCTATTTTTTATATTAGTTTCACTTGTCAGCTATTTAAAAAGGCAACTTTAACGAAAGAACAAAATAATTGCGTACCCATTTCAGTATAGAATAGCTCCACGAATTAACAATGTGCCGTTGCCAGGTTGTTTCCGTCTGGCTGACGTGTCGCTGGAGAACGTCATTATCTCGCGTGAATTCAGGTCCTAAACATTCGCCACAGACACACGGCGAGAATTTTATGGGGGTGTAAAACAGAAAGATTATTTATATTATTTATTTATTTTTACAGTGGAATAAAACATGTATATTTTTATTAGATGATATGTATGAGTACGCAGTTAGTAAAGACTGTAAATATTATCATCGAAAGTGCGGCAAGCGGAAAGAACAACAATAAATTGACTGAGCGCTGTGAGCAGGGGTGCATTCAAGAAGTTAGTGTTTTTAAACGTTTAATAGATATTCTGTGTGGAGGAGACGTAGCAATTAATGCGGAATTATTTTGAATGTAGCTCGCATCAGTCGAAGGAGTTGCCCCCTATAAACAGCATCAAATTTATGATAAGAGATTACAAAGGTTTTCAAGCTAAGCGTGAAAAGTGCCGTGTTTTGTATGGATTTAAATCAAAATGCAACCTTTCTGAACAGTTTAGAATAACTTTAATCTGCGTTGAACTCTCTGATTGGTGATTATTCACGGATGGACCTGGTGGCTGTCGCCTGAGTCCATCGTTTACAAGCGGCGCCGATGAGCAGGATGGTGGAGCGGTCGGACCGAGACCCTCTGCTGGACTGGGAGGAGATCCCGTCCGCGGAGAAACCCGGCGATGAAGCCCCGGCTGCCTCCCCTGCAGAGGAGCGTCCGTCAGACAGCCGCGGCGCAGCGGGATGCTCGGGGTTTGGGTGGAGCAGCGGATCTGGGGGTCCTGCTCCTCCCAGCAGGTCCGAAGCAGACGGCTGCAGCGCCCCGCCCGTGACCTCCAGCGCCCAGCCGGCGGCCCTAGAGCGAGCGCAACCGCCCGACAAGGAGGAGCATCCCTCGGATGCAGGGGCGAGGGAGGTGTCGCTGGAGGACAGGATGGTGAAGTGGGAGGAAAAGGACCAGATTGTGTCTGTCTTTGTTGTTACATTTAATACCAGAACAGGTGAGGCAGTAAATATCAGCAACTAAATACAACATCCTCACTAAATTAAGTATTATGCATGATTTATAACTAACATTTCCAGACATGATGCTTATAATGAGATCAAAGTCTGCAGATCTTCCTCCCACAGGTGCGGCTTTTCCTGATCTCTCCTTAAGTTTAGAGACAAAGTCAAAGTCACGACATTTTTCCCTTTCTTGATCGCAGATGAGATGTCAGGTTTATGTCATGTGAATCAATCAGCAGGAGGTAACCCATACATTTTTAATAAGGACCGCCTTGAAGATTGGCAGAGCCCTGGTGAATCACTTGCCAGATGGATTGCTAAAGTCTGAAGAGAAAAATCAAACAGAGAATCAATAGATGATGGAGAATATCTGCCCTGAATGGAGGACAGGAAATTTTCTGCAGGGTGGAGCTCTGCTTTTTTTATGGTTTTGCGGCATGTGAGGCTGACATGATGAAAAAGCTTATAATCAGGGTGTTATCCCCATAGTTGTGTAATAGGAAGGATCGTTACTGTGTAATTACACATGTCACAATCTTTGGGGAGACAAACGTGTTAAATGAACGTCTGAGGAGGCAATGTTATCATAAACCTCCTGCCCATCTATACCGTGTTTTTTGTGCACTGTAATTTATCATTTTATCTTTGAACTTTTTTTTTACTTTTTTCCTAATTACTCCATAAGGAAAGAGATATGACCTATTCCCAGAAATAAGAAACAGAATTAAAAGTAGATGCATTGAATTAAGGAAAATTGTTCAAATGCAGGGATGCTCAGTGGTGCAGAAGGTTCTGGGTTCAATTCCTGGCCTGGAGTCTTTCTGCATGGAGTTTGCATGTTCTCCCTGAGCATGCATGGGTTCTCTCCAGGTACTCTGGCTTCCTACCGATCCAAAATACATGACTGTTAGGTGTGACTGTGTGCATGAATGGTTCTTTGTCCTGTATGTCTCTGGTGTTGCCCCTGCGATGGACTGGTGACCTGTTCAGGGTGTATCCCGCCTCTCGCCAGACAGCTGGGGGATAAGCATGATTGAAACTGGACTGAACTCTTTTTTTATAAAGCACATCTGATATGAGATGATTAGATTTACTTTAATATGATTTATTAGGATTTTAAATGATATACCAACACATTAAGTGCATAATTGTTAAGGGGAACAGAAAGGAACCTTTATTTTTACTAAATCTAAACTCCTCGTTGTCACAGATCATCATTTTGATTAATTAAAATCTCTAAGAGGCATGCCATACTGTTGCACATGCGCATACGCCGTGGTGCAACAGTCACCCCATCTTTCCATCAACTTTAACCAGCTAATTTGAAATTAAAACAAAAGTTTTTTTTTCACTCCTAATTTACAGCATCATGCTGTTTTATTTTATTATTAATTAACAGTGAATGTTAAATGCTTTTAAAAATGATCAGATTTTACAGGACAAAACCCAGCCTGCCTTCATTTTTTTAGCATTTAAGTTTGCCTTGGGGTTTAAAACCTATAAGTGGTACCTGTTGTAGAATTTTAGAACAAATTGCCTTTCTCAAACTGCTCTATAATTTGCTCCAATCAGGTTCTCTTCCTCTGCTTAAGGGTTCTCATTCCTGCAGTATGATGTTGCCTCCGTGCACCGTTTTCTGCTAACCATTGGATTTTGCACTCAGGAAGTTTACCTTATGCATCAACTAAGCTGAGCACCTTTTTTCCACATGCATCTCGTTTCCCCCTGCAAGCATTTTTATCAGATATTTGGAGGGGAAGTTTCATTATTTGCCCACCTGAGCTGTCAATCTCTGCAGCTCCTCCTGAGTTAATGCTCAAGCAGAAGGCAGTAGGTTCTACTGGATTTTATTTAGGCTGTTGGAGTAAATGGTGCTAAAAAACAAATGCAAACCCTACTTTTCAATCTTCTTGTTAAAAAAGAAGTTTAGGACCAAGTGTTAAGGGCTTTTAAGTTGTGCTTTAGGGTGAGGAAATGTAAAAAAAGAGCCTAATTTTGTTATTCCTGCTGAAGCTCCTTTAACTGATCCATGCATGTGATTGCAATCAACTCGCTTAGTCACTTTCTCTGTTTGTCTGCACCTGTCAGACCCGGTTTGCTCAGCGATGACTTCCTGGGAAGTCTGCGTCACATTGGGCTCATGCATACGAAACAAATAGCAATGATGTGTTTGTTTTCGTTGTTTGCTTGTGACATAGGAAACATGTTGGAGTGGTGTCTGCCCAAAGACATGGACCTGGAGGGGGTGGAGTTTAAAGCCATCGCTAGCGGCTCCCACAGAGTCAGCACAGACTTCATGTAAGTGGGTCTGAGTGTTTCCAAGCAAACAAGTGAGAGGTATGCCAGATTTAAATATTAGGATGCAGCCCCAGCTCCCTGCACTGGGCAAAGTGTTGCCTGGCGGAGCCATCTGGCAGCGCCTTTGCTTCTCCCTGACTCACAGCCCTCATCTTTCCTCCCTTTTTTTTTTTTGCAGCTACTTCCGGAAAGGCCGCTACTTTGGCCTCGCCTGCTTTGCCAACATGGCTGTGGAAAGTACAGAGGAGAGGGGGGCCAGGATGAAGTCGGTTGGGATCCTCTCTCCGTCCTACACTCTGCTCTACAGATACATGAGCTTCCTGGAGCACCAGGTCAGGTAAGGACTTTGGTCTTTAAAGGCACATCGCAGCAGCTTGTGGCTTCAGTAAAAACATCACACTGTTTCGTCTTCCTCTTGTAGTAGAGCTCAGCTGAAAGCAAACTCCTTCTGACTGAATGCAAGGGGAAACTCATCCTCCACTGTGCCTTGTTTGAAGGGAACACCTTAAGTACACATTTAACCTGGGCGTATGAGCTGATCTGGTCATGGTCTGGCTACTGCACTCAGAAATATTTCACTCATATTAGAAGATTTATGTAATTTTATTACATGACAAATTCCCATTTACTTTTTTAAAGCTTATTTTGAACCAAACCTGTTAAATAAAACTCGCACGATCTATATTCATTTGTAAAATGAAGCTTATTTGAAATACATAATCAATGAAGTATACTTTGTAATAAGTAATAAATATTACAAATATTGATATTGAGTAACATTTTTTCAAACACATAAAGTTTATTGTTTGGATTGTATAAAGGTAACCTGATGATTATGCAACACGGTGTCATTCCCCTTATGTTTTATCTTAAAAAATAAAAAATATGTTTAAGCATGACTGCCCTTTTAATCCAGTTTAATCCAGAGATTAAAATGGATTTAAAGTGTTTCGATACTTTTTATATTTTGCAACAGACAAAAGGAGATAGAGAAAGACTTTCTGCTGCTTTCTTTAGACTCACACTTCCTTTTGTATTTGAACACACCACTTCTTCCACATTCAGCCTCCTGTCCTTTTTTTTACCCGGTTCCCACAGTCTGGCTCCAGTCATGCTGTGCTCATCATTCCCTCCTATATCTCCCTCCACATTCCTTATCTGACGTCTTCCATCCTTTTACAAAGGGCATGCTGTCGGTCATGAGATGACTCAAATGTTAAGGATTTCCCCTCTTTCTTTTCTCTTCTGCTCTCCATTTTCAGTCCATTTTTAACTTTTGAAGTTCCTCCAGTTCTGCAAAGTACTTAATCTAGAGACAAGTAAAACACTGGCAACAAACGTCAGTAGAAAAAGGTTTATAGTGACATAAAAAAAAATGCTGTCCTTAAACGACCTTACGATGTCCTCTTTTTAAGATGCTTTTTGATTGAGAAAAGAAGGATTTAGTTAAATAAAGCTGAAGATCCATGAGGAAACTGGAAGCAGTTCATCCATATAAGGTTCATTAAGAGGGAAAGAGATAACTAATCCAATTTCGTCACCAATTAAAAAATATTATTTTACTTTAAGATGGTTTTTGGGGAAGTAAGAAGGAACTTTGGTAACTAAAAAAAGAAAAGTGTGAAAGAAATATGTCAGACTGGTTTAAGACATGTTGAAAACAGCACATATGTGTGAATAAGCTACAACTTATGGTCCTAATTCCCTACATGTAGGACTCTTTGTTTCAAAAGACAATTTAAAAAGCCACAGTTTGCAAAAAAAAACAACAACCGAAAACTATGTTTTACTATCCACTGAAATAATGGGGTAAATTTAATCCAGATAAACTAACTATCAGTCTTACATCTGGATCTTATGCTCTCATTTCAATTATATCATTATATTGTCTAAGGCAGGCATCCCCAACCTCGGTCCTAGAGGACCGCTGTCCTGCAGGTTTTAGAGGTTTCTTTGCTCCAGCACAGCTGATTTTAATTGAAAGCTGATTAACAGGCTTTTGGTCTACTGCAATCATTATAATCAGCTGTGCTAAAGCAGGGAAACCTCTAAAACCTGCAGGATAGCAGGTCTCGAGGACTGACTTTGGGGATGCCTGGTCTAAGGGATGTAAGCAGTGTTCAGATGCAATGTCAAATAAGGGAACAAGGGCAAAAAAAACAACCTTAAAACAAGAAATGCGTTAAAATGTTGAGAAAAATGTAAACAATACATAAAAGAGCACATCATGATAAGGAAATGGCATGAAATAGAAATATAAAAATGTGCATTATTATCATACTTATAGAAAAAGATGCTGTATTAAACAAAGTAATAACAAGAGAATATATAGATATAAAACGGCCTGAGAATAGAGCCTTGATGAACCCCACATCTAAAATCTAGTAAAATTTGTAATTTATACATTTGTGAGTTGATGCATAAAAAAATAAAACCTAATTTCTACCGATTTAGTTGGTTGAATTTTTTTCCCCAAGTTTTGCTGAATTCTTTTTTTTTTTTTTTCTTGGAAATAAATTTTATGTTGTTTTTTTTTTTTTGTTTCTTTAGAACATATGATCCTCCTGCTGTCATATAAATCAGATTTTTTTGGAGAGCTGTCAGTATTTCTGGGATGTTTTACTTTTTTGACCTGCCTCACCTCCATCTGTAATGGTTTCCAGGTCACACACAAACTCATTTGTGTAATTAATTTCAGCAGCTGACCTCCTTGTTTGTTTCACAATGTTCCTACAGTAATTAACAAATGTTTAACCCAGTGTTTAACTTTCCAGTTTCATTGAGATTTCCTTTTTAATCATGTAGTTGTTATTGTTAGCAGGAGATGCGGTGGTAGAGCACAGTGATCCTATTAGCATCAGAACAGCTTTGCTTCAGGACCATCTGCACACCTGCTGATTAATGCTCTGCTTTTCAGACAGTTTTCATGTTTTCAGAGCTGAGTCTGACTAACTCTGGCAGTGTTTGGCTTTGACGGTGATTCAGCTCATTAAACCAAACAAAGACGATGCTGTTATGCATGCACCACCCACCTTTTTAGCCGGATTCTTTTTTTAAATTCAAATTTCCTATCTTTTCAATTTACGCGTGGCTGAAAATGCAAAATGGAAGATTGTTTATGCATTATAATTTCCTTTCCCCAGGCTCCAGCTTCAGTCCCCAGGTCACTATTCTCCACTGGAGGCCTTTTATGAGGACAAGAGAGCGCTCCTGCCCCCCAGTGGGGAGCATGTTGTTACTGCATTTCCAGCCAATGCGTGGGGAGCTGCGATTAACCACAGCATGCACCCTGAGATGAAGGTAGGTAGGAGGAGATCTTCCCATTTCTGGGACAGTCACTTTTATTTTGTGGCATCATAGATGATGAGGATGTGATAGATGGATCACTTTGAGTTTAGAGGAAATTTACCAGGATGGGGCCAGTGTTTTTGTTTTTTTTAATGGCGAATAGAAATAAAATGCAAAAAATATAAAAACTCTAACAGATAAAACTGTGAAAGTGAATTGTTAAGGTTTAATATTACATTGGTCCAAGGGACAAATCAATTACTGTCAGGATTGGTTTGAGGTGTGAGGTCCCAAATGCAGAGACAGGGAGGGAGAGGTGAGTTTCTTGATGATTTAATGAAGAGCAAACAAATAACTGTGCCAGGAATCCAAAAAAAAAAAAAAATCAAACATGAAAACAAAGTCAAACAAACCAGAAACCATGGAGACGTCACAGTTTCTCACGCATCTGTGATTTTGTTGTGCGGTGCCAGATAAACCATGCGCAGAAGTAGTTTAACATAAATGCAAGTATGTCTATTTTTCTCGCAGGTGTTTTGAAATAAATGTGACGCCATACTCTTCTGTCATTTCATGCCGTCATCAGAAATTGGTTTATTATTAAACTGCAATAACGTATCTAAATAAGTAAAAACATCTTAAAATAAGTTTTTGCCCTTAATTCAAGAAGGTAAATAAGATAATCTTCCAAAGGAGTGAGTATTTTTACTCTTATAATAAGATACAATCCCTTTGAGATATTTAAGAGAGTTGTTTTTTTCTTATTTTAAATGTAAATCATATTCCATTGGCAGATTCTCCTATCTGTGTGCTCAAACCAAGGAAAATACATATAATTCAAGAAAACCTAACTTAGATTTTAGGGGCCAGGACCGGTTCTACGGGGCCCCTGGCCCCTGTCTAGAACCTCCCTTGGTTTTAATGGTATTTTTCTGTGTGGAACAGATCACCCACCCAGCAGGCTGCATGTCTCAGTTCATTCGCTTCTTTGGGGAGCAGATCATGGTGCTCTGGAAACTGGCTCTCCTGCGAAGACGGATCCTGATCTTCTCTCCTCCGCCTGTGGGCGTGGTTTGCTACAGAGGTGGGAAACGTTCTGATTCCTGAGTAGAAGTCTAAAGAAAAACGATTTAATTTTTTTTTTCTTCCCCCATTCCTAGTGTACTGCTGCTGCTGCCTGGCCAACATCTCCATCCCAGGGGTCGGTGTGGCAGTACCCGAGTTCCGGCCTTTCTTCTACGTCAACGTGGCGGATATCAGCGCCCTGGAAAACGAACTCTCCTATGTAGCATGTGAGTGGATTCCTGAAACATTTCAGCCCATGGAAGGAAATGAATTATAACCTGTCATGTTTGCATGTTCAGGTACGACTGAGAAGATCTTTGAGGAGAAGAAAGATCTGTATGATGTTTATGTTGATAATCAGAATGTGAAGACCTACAGAGACGGGCTGAAGCCTCTGCTCCGCCTCAGCGCCGCAGACAGGGAGAAATACCGCAAGCTTACAGAGCAAAGGTAAGGAACTGGAAATACAAGATAAAATAAACAATGATTCATTCCTTTATACATCCTTCAACTTAACCAGGTTTTTATCATTTACATCCCCTTTTATTCAATAAAAAACAAACAGTTTGCTAGTTTATATGAACAGCTGTATAAATCTTATTCTAGAGAGGGAATAAGCATGTAGAGGTGTCTGTGTGTGTAGGCAGATGCTGCTGTATTCCCAGGAAGAGAACGGTGACTGCATGTCCAGCGAGGAGGACCTTTTTATTTTGTAAGTTCCTTATGAATGTTGACTTTCTGCCAATTTTTTATCAGGATCTTGGAGGCAACTTCAGGTTAAATCCACCCCAGAGTTCAGATGTATGGAGGACCAAGAGAGTCACATAAAAAGAAAAACAAACTATTTTTAGTCTTACATTTATATCATGCAATAAGAAAAATTGGGTTTCTTTTCCCCCCCCTTTTCTTTTTGGCTTCTTTTCGTTTTTCGGGGCCCTTGTTGCGTTAAAACTTTTAAAAAATCCAGATAAGATTACTCTTTTCAATTGAGCAATGAAACATTTAGGAAAGTATGGTCCTATTTTTTTATTTTACAGAAGGGACAAAATTCACTAGAATTAAATGACTAAATTAATAGAAAGATATGAACATGTATCTATCAGATATAACTTAAGAAACCTTATTTAATATAAATCATCTATAGTTCCATTTTTTTTAATATATATATAATTTATTAGTCTTTTTTTCTGCTTTGTTTCTTTCATCCTGTTCTGTTTCTTTTCTTTTTTTTTGGATGTGTGTGATTGTAATAATGTCTCCTTAGCGCCACTTATAGATTTATGTGTTATGATTTATTTCCAATGCACTAATTGGAGGCTTTTCCCGTTGTGTTGACAATGTATGTGATCAAATACTTTACTTATATAAAGTAGAAATGTCCAATCAAAAGTGTTTTAAAAAAAAATCCTATTTGAACAGCTTTTTCTAATTGCACATTTTAAATTAAATTATTATTAAGAGGAATTTAGAATCACATTTTAATATCTCATTATTAAATACTATCATTTAGAAAGGTATTTTTTTTAAAAATCTATCTAAATGGATATTTAAGTACCTATTCTAATTACACATTAAAAAATGTTTCAGTGTGTAATTTGAAATCCTTTTACAGTTAAATTTCTTTTTGACTTTCCACTTGTCCATTTATCTTTCCTGTGATCTTTCTGGTTGCTGAGCAGACTGAGCACCAGGTTAACCAATCACAGTTGCTTCTCAGATGTAACCGGCTCCCTCATTGGTTAGAATGCCACAGTTCACAAAATGACCAGTGCCTGCTGTATTTAATAAATACTATTTATCGTCTTAAATAATTTAGATAAAAATAAGCAATTAAAAAACTCTTGTCAAATTGGATGATTTAAGTGTTACATTTAAAAAGACTGCTTTTCTTTTTCAGTGTCCATCTGGTCCTCCATTCTGATTTTCATTCAGAACGACTAACACAGATGTATCATTGTGCTCATTTGTTTTAGCCTTGATAAATAGAGAGTGAAATTAAATTAAATCCTCTTTTACTTCTTAAGGTTTTTCCTGGAGCAGAATAACCGGATTTTCCAGACTCTGAGCGAGGTGGCGGGGAGCCCGGACCCCACCATCACCCAGGACAGCGTGAGGGCCATGGGTCTGGATCCCCATGGAGACAGACTATTCCTGCTCCATCTGCTGGAAATTTACGGCTATGACAGCCTGCTGGTTTCAGAGCAGCTGTGCTGCAGCTGAGGTTTTTTTTTTTTGTATTTTTTTTTTCTCCATCACTTCTGCTTTTAAAACAAGCGGGGGGCTGTCTGTCTCAGAATGCTGCTGCATCCAGAAGACTTCATGTCATTGCCTACTGAGGGTCCTTTCTAAGACAGCCAGATGCTCTGAACTCAGTGGTCCGTTCTACTTTTCAGAGACTTGCAGAGATTTTCATACAGCTGTGTTTGAGCCATGTTTTTTTATTTTCTAGGAACATTTCATTGACAAGATAAAAGGACGAAAGCAGGCTTCCTGTAAATAAGGCTGGTTTGTTCTTTATGTATTGTGTGAAATCAGGTCTGCCAGTATTGCACTTCATAATAGAGACTTGTGGCCCGCTTTATATAAACCAATGTCTGAGGTCTTTCAACAGTTCAAACTGCCTTTAACATCAGCATGTTGGTCTGTAACGGCACCATTAAAGTGACTTTTAGGGAAACCATGTCTGAACATTAAAAGGCTATAGAGATGTTATGCTGGGCTTTATGCACTTTCAGACAGCAGCCAGTCGAGCTTTAAGATGTATCCTAATAACGGTAAACACCAATTTAGCTCCAGGAGGGAAAATGAAGTAATTTTACTGTCATTAACAAAAGCTATAAAACAAAGCATTCAATTTTTATTATAATTACTATTGGAAATATAAAAGAAACTTAAGCAAAGCTACAGATATTAATGCCAGGGCTCTACATCTCCCACCTCTATTATATATGCATTTTAAAGTGTTCTGTTATCGTCTGATGCATAAAGGTTGCAGCTCTTTATGCATAATATACATAAAATCACAGCTAATAAAAGGTTATTTTAGTTTCAGTGGGATCTGGTTCAAAACTGCAGCTTCTTTTACATTTAAGGTAATAATTTTTTTTTTTAAAGTACAGTGCCTTGGAGAAGCTGCTATACTTTCTGCTTTTCCATAATTCCTAACATTATTACCGTAAACCTCAATTTATTTAACAAGAAAGGCATACAATTAAGGCCCTTTGTAAAATCAATCAGGTTGGATGTACCCTGCAAAAAAATTAAATCTAAATAGGTACATTTTTCTTAAAATAGGTTTTTATTTTTTTCTTAGATTTTAAATTAAAAAAAACAATTGCATAGCCTTATTGCAAGTGCATATTATCTAATTATTATCTTAGAGTAAAAAAAATACTAATTTCATTGGCAAACCAGCTTATTTACTCAAATTAAGGATACACAATTTTATTTTATTTTATTTACTTATTTCTAATCGTTTTTGCAGTGTAGGGCAACTGTTCCATTGATTTCCAAACACATTTAGTTCCAGGCTTTGACTTGGCTGCTTCCAACACACTAATGCATTCAGAAAGAAAGAGGCTCTAGATCCACACTGCCTCCCTGCTCAGGGAAATAGTTAAACAGCCTCTGTTTGATGTTTAAAGCTTTTATAACAAACCCCGACTCCAACTAAATAGAATGCTATAGTTAATTGTATACACTGGATTTGATTTGAGGGGAATTAGAGCAAAGATTACCAAATAGAAATACCACTTTAAGCTTTTACCGTTTCCTCTTGCTCATATAAAATACGAAAGCTTGTAAGAGTGGGAAAAGTTTTAAGGGATAAGAAACTTTTTACAAGTGTAACCACTGTATAACCACACAGCTTTTACATTCCATGACATCTTTAAGGTGTAGCTGAAAGCTCATGCTGAAAACACGCTTCAGAATAATCATCTGTACAGGACAATAAACAGCGGAAGAAAATATTTGGTTTTATCCACATTAATGGGAACTTGCTGTACAGTAATACCACTTACTACACAGCATGTTTCTGATTTTAGTCAACATACTGCATTAACTGCAAAAACACAAAGGTCTACTCACTGTTTCCTGTTTTAGTTATAGCTCTAAGGTCTTTATTGTGAATTTAAATGAGTTTTTATGTAAAGAAATGGGATCAGCTGAATGTATTTTAGCAATGATGATCTGTGTGTAACGGAAACTTGCACCTTTTCACTGTAAGAAAACAGTCACCTGAAACGACTTGTACAAAAGCAGAAGCAAACATCTCTGTAGTTAAGGGATAGTCTGACTCATGTTAAAAACACCTTTTCCTTTATTTATTTTTAACTCTCAATCATTGTCAGAAAATAAAGTGCACAACCACTTTTAATAAAAACACTCCTCTTGCTCTCATTTCAAATATTCCTTTATCTGTTCAGGTACATTTTGCTCGTTAGATCATTTTCCCAGAGATTATGGATCACAAACTTCTCATCACAGCAAGTTTAAGTACAGTCAACCAGTTCTGTTTCACGTCCGGGTCATCACACGAGAAGATATAGTTGGTTTTGGACTGTTTGAGGCAGAAATTGTTCTGATCCTGCAGCTCCTCTATCACACAGCTGAGTAGTGGCAAAGCAAGCAGGGGCTTTTCATCCTGGATATTAGGGGGAAAAAAAGAAAAGAAAATGTTGCTGACAAAGAAGGAAAATCCTCTAAAAGAAAACATCTTCATCTGACAACATTTGTAATGTTTGTTAAAACCCAAAGCAAACAGATAATCTGAAAATGAACACTGCAAAAAATCTATCCAAATAATCATATTTTTTCTTTAATTGAATGAAACAAGACAATTTACATTTAAAGTTAATTGCCTTATTTCAAGTGAAAACAATCTTATTTTAAGAGTAAAAATACTAATTTCATTGGCAAATCATTTTATTTATCTACTCAAATTAAGGGTAAATAAATCGAATGAATTTTTTTTTTATTATTTCTAGATTGTTTTTGCAGTGAAAAGGGACATTTAAAAAAAAAAAAAAAAAAAAGGAGCTAAAAGATAACTGAGTTTATTACCAGAAACATCCTAATTTATAACAGTGGTGAGAGGTCTTATTGTAGTGGCAAAAAAAACAACAACAACTTAAAAACTGATTTCGATGGGAAATTATGACTGTGCTTGAATAAAACATAAAATGTTTCCTAAAACCTATCCTTTGTTGGGTACTCTATAGTGACTGATGTCAGATCAAAGATTATTTTTTTTAGCAAATAGGATATAGTCAAACCCCTAAAATGTCAAAGATAACCGTTCAATACATGTAGCAATAAATTAAAGCCAAAGTTAGGTTCCTTAATCTAAAAGCTTTAAAATAAAAACCTCTTATTCTGAAGTGACATAATTTTGCATATTTTTATTAATTTAAAGAAAAAGAAATGCTGAGAATTAAATGGTTAAATATAATCAACAATTATATGATTGTTTTTTAGCAACAAATACTTGCTTCTTTGTCTGACATCTCTGTGCAAAATCATTCTAGGTCTTTTCAGATTTTTATCACCTCAAGTAGGGCTGCAACGTACGATTATTTTGCAAATAAATTAACATGTTGATTATTTTTTGATTGATTGATTAATAATCGGATAACCAAAGGTTTCTTAAAAAAAGATTTTGTACTTAATTAAACAAGGTAAAACTAAAATGTTTCTACTTGAGCAGTTCTGGATAGAACATATCGACTGACAAAAACGAATTAATCTTAAGTGTAAAATGTTTAAATATTTTTTTTACAATTTTGGTATAATTACTGCTCTAAGTGGGTTGCTCTGTCAGCTAAAGGCATATTTTACAGTCTCTATACTCCAGTTAATGATTAATCAATTACTAAATTAGTTGAAGGTTATTTCAATAATGGATTAATCAGATTAATTGTTTCAGTCCAAATCACAAGATCTGGAAACTGAGATTAAGATGAAAGAAATCTGCATTCACCAGTTAACCACATATTTGTTAACTTATCCTGAATATAAGCGGTTACTGGAGCCTTTGAAAAAGAAAAAAAAAGCCACACTCATCACAGATCCTGTGACTCAAGAGGTTTTACTCATCTTTGTCCTTTAGTTTCACAGCGATGGGTTTGTTGACTAAGACTCTAATCCAAGTAAGATTCAAAGGTTCAGGTAAAGCAGAAAAAAAAGGCTTTTTTTAATCCCACCACTCCAAACCAGTTGGTATGTGAATAGGTTGTAATTGCAGATAAACCTAATGATTCCAAGATGACACTTTGCAGCAGTTCTAAAAGATTTAGTAGAAAATAAAAAAAAAATGTTCTCCAGATTTTTAGACTCAATTACAGAATAACTGTAACCAAGTTCTGAAATGTTAGCATTATCTCTAAAATCAAGATTTTACCACAATGAGGAAAACTTAACTGCAACATATTAAAAGTAACACAAAACTAAAGAAAGTTATATAAAATAAAATGTATAAAATAGATAACTGATTTATCATTACCTCTGGGTTATTATAAATGTGGAAAAACGGAGGATCAGTCCTGGTGAGAACGCACCATGCTTGTCGCCAAATCATTGAGCTGTCCCCGTACTGCAGGAACCCACTCAAAACACTGTCCTGAGAGCCTGGATAGACCTCAGACTGGGATGAAACCCAAAACAAGACAACGCTTAGATTAGAATATGGGAGGATTTTCTGTTAACAGCCCAGAGAGAAGGACTGTGGAAGTATTTAGTAGAAGTATGAATCCTACCTCCACCATTCTTCTCTTTTTTCGGTCCATTCTCTCAGTTCTCTGTCCGGCCAGGATGGAGTAACAAGCTTTACACACTTTGTTCAGCCTGTTTCCATCGTACTCTAAAGCCACTTTGTTGTCTGAACACTTCCAACACACCACCTGAAGGAGAACAGGGACCATAACCTGTGAAATAACCGTGCTGTGTTCAGGTTCTTACAGTATAAAGCATTAGCTTCCTCACATAGCCACAAGCTCGACAGTGATGCCTTCTCCTGGTTAGGGCGTTGAAAGGCTCCTGACATGTCATACACAGGGTCACCTCATTGTCTCTGATCCAGCGAGGGGCTCGTCTACCAAGTTCCTTAAGCTGTAAAGCAAATGTGCATCATGGTGTTAATCACATGATGATTCCTTTGTCAATGCAACCTTATGAATCAACGTACAGGCTCTGCATTGAGCTCCTTAGAAGCGATTTTAAAGCTTTCGTTTTTCTTCTCAAACACATCAACGGCCTCCTGAATCGCCTGCAGATAAAGAACTAATCAGTAGAAAAGCCTTTCTGAAGCAGTTTAAATACTGCAACTAAATGCATACCCTTATCCACTCGTCTCGCTCCTGCTCAGAGCTGCAAAGACAAGAAAAATACGGATTACTTTTAGTGCTTAATGCAGGGTGCAATGTTTGCACTAAACTGCTCACGTGACAGAACATTAAGTAGACATATACGGCAATGACTTTCACATTTTACTGCATGCAAAGGATGCAAGGTCTGCACAAAAACCTTCTGCACGACTGTCCCCTAAAATTAGTTCAGAAGCATAAATCTGAAACCTCAACATGCTGTGAACCTACCTGGCCTGTAGCTCCAGAGTTTTCTCTTTACCAGAGACTTGGAAAGTGTATGGGTGGTCTTCATTGGTTGTCTGTTGCGCTTGCATGCCGTCTACTCCGATCCTGCAGCGGACCGTAAATCTCTGCCCAACCAGACTGAACTTTGCAGAGCAGCACAGCACAAAGTTGTTGAACTAGGATGGAAAGTTTATGCAAAACACCAATTTCAGCATTTTTTAGCATCTTGA